GCTTACAAAAAGGCGCACCTGCTCTGACTTGACTTAGAGTTGCTGACTCTTGCCCTCTAGACTTCCCTTCTCTGGGCCTCTGGTTATTTATTTATTTCTCAATTTACAAAAAAGGGGCAGTGAGAAATGTCAACAGAGACATGTCTGCGAAAACAGTGAGTCTGACGCCAGTGGAGCCTCAGAGGTCAAACTGGAAGTCATTGGGCAGTCAGTGCGCAGTGCGTCTGACGTCACCAAGAGGCAGGTGCAGTCGGCAAGGCCAAGGACCTGGTGGCTCCTGGCTTTCTAGCAAACAAAATCCTGCTAACGCTGGTGTCTCCGCACCCCACGAGTGCACGCTTCATAGCTTCACAGCCCTTTCTGCGTTTGAGGTAGGTGGAGCAGAGGTGGGTGGGGTTGGGGGGGGACTCTGAAAGGCATTGGGTCTGTTGGCGAGAGGTAGAACGTTTGGTCACATTTCAAACCCGCTTTCCCCGGCTTGGTGAGAAGGTTGTTTTGGGAATCAAGCGCAAAGTGTTTTGAGCCATCTCTCTGGCAGGCAGTGTTATTGTTAACTCTGGGGTGGAACCATACAATGTCCCACTCCTCCTCTCTTCCTTCTGCGGAGTGTGCATGGTTAAGCAGCTGGGTGTGGGTGGCCAGGTTTTTCATATTGGCACGGACATTGCCCACAGCTTCCTTGCACATGACCAGGTTGGAAGACCTTTGATTTTGAAATTCTTACCAATACTGGTTGACAGTTCTGCCCCGTCTTGTTCTAGAAGGTTGAGAGGAGAGGAGAGATGGGGAGGGGAGGGGAGAGGGGAGGGGAGGGGAGAGGGGAGGGGAGGGGAGGGGAGGGGAGGGGAGGGGAGTACAGTAACAAGCCAGAGCAGATGCAAAGGGGCCAGATGAACACAATGTCTACTTTGAAGAGTAAGTGAGTTTTTGTCCATCAGCCCACCATGAGCAGGCCCTTGGTGTACATTATCTGTGTTGGAAAAATGCAAGAAATTCCAAGGACAAGTGTGGTTGAGAGATGAATCCGAGGGGCACTGCGTTTAAATTGCTAAGCTTATGGGAAAGTGCTGATTTTAAAAAGCCCAGGTCTTTCCCGTAGTGTCATTCCTACTCAGCCCCTGACTGGGTGATGAATACATGCATAGAAGGCAGAGGAATGCAGCAATTCGCCAGCGTGGTGTGAGAGAGCAGGGTCATTCACATCTGTGGCCCTTTGGCTGGCTGGCTCATTTAACATCGTCCTCACCCAACCTCTCCTCACCCTCCGCTGTTTCTTCCCCCACTGCCTTCTCTGTTGCTAACAAGTCAGTACCTGTTTGTCTCTGATCTTTGATCATAATCTCTGCAGCCAAGCTGTCTGCTAATCCCGCAGGCTCTCAAAATGCTTTCAAAGCAGTGTGTAGTTGCTAGTGTGATTGTCAAGGTTTTTTAGACTTGGCACAGAACTTTAGGGTCCGACCTTACAAACCCCATTCCTCTTTTTTTTTTTTTACTTCGCTGGAGCTTGGAATCTTACAAACCTGCTCTTTGTCTTTTTCATCTAGTTGGAAGTTGGAGTTGAACTAGATTTTTTTTAAGGTTTATTTTTATTGGAAAGGCAGATTTATAGAGAACAAGAGACAGAAAAATCTTCATCTGCTAGTTCACTCCCTAAATGTCCATAACACCTGGAGCTAAGTTGATTCAAAACCAGGAGCTTCTTCAGGGTCTCTTAACAAGTTGAGCCATCCTCTGTTGCTTTCCCAGGCCACTAGCAGCGAGCTGGATGGGAAGTGGGGCAGCTGGTACACCAACCAGCACCCACATGGGATGCCGGCACTTGCAGGTGGAGGATTAGCTTGTTGAGCCACCAGGCTGTCCACTGAACTTGATTAATAACAATATTCAGATTGGCTCTGCAGTCCAGTTACGCTTTTTCTCTTTCATCACAGGGACTTTATTTTTTAGTCACCATGATGTTTTTATTTTGTACAACAAAGATGTTCCCTCCCCCTCCGCTTTTTTGGGGGGGTTTGGAAAAGGGAACTTCAGGATCCCTTGCTTGCTAAGAATGGCTGGTTGTCTTGGTCATTCAGCAACCCTTCGTTAATTAACGGGAAGATTCAGGGGCCAGAGTTGGCATAGCAGGTTTAGCCGCTGCATCTCATTTTGGAGTGAAGGTTCACTTCCCAGCCAGATTCCTGCGGATGCAGCAGCAGATGCCCCAGGGGAGGTGGGAGAGACCAGGATGGAGTTTCTGGCCTATTGTTTCCATTTTTGGAGTGAACTATTGGATGAAATCTGTCTCTGCCTCTGCCTTTCATATAAGTAAATCTTAATGGGGTGAGTCATGCCTGTGGAAGTCTGTCCCGTCCAGCAGAACAGTCAATGGGGGTCGCAACAACCTAGGAGAGAATGAAGGGACAAGAGACACGAAGAATGGACAGCAAGACAGGATGTCTGATCAAGCTGTCAGTTTTTTAATTTAATTGAGGGTTTTTATATTCTTCAGTAACTAAGGCTCAGGGAGGAAAGGAGAAACTGGGACGCAAGCCATGGTTGCATGACCGATTGTTCTTGAGCAGCCACCACATCAATAATAGTAACCAACATACCAACAATAGTGTAGGTAACCAGTAACAGGATGTCGGCAGGTACAGCATAAATCACATTCTGAAATGGTTGCTAGAAACAATTGAAGCTAAGCGTGTGATTAGTTTCATAACCTCTTTCCCAAGCATCTAGCCAGCTGGGGGTTTTCCACTGTCCCATAGGTCTATATTCAAAATGGCTTCAGTATGGCTATAATACACGGCTCCTGACAGTCTAGCAACTTTAGAGACTACAATTGCATCTCCTGGTGCATTACTGTATAAGCAGGTGTCTGCTGTGAGCAGTTGGCTTCGAGAAATTGAAACTGCCAGTTCTCAGAGGGAAAATGTCCAGTTCATGGGCGAAGATTTTTCTCTGCCAATTTTTAAGGCAAGGGGATGGGAGTGGCGGGGAGGTGGGAAGGGACTTTAGATAGAAGAATTGAAGGGGTGAAAATGCAGCAAGAGAGGAAGTGGAATGTGTGTGGTGGGGATAAGCATCAACTAAATATTTGGAAATTGAAGGATCTCTGGTATTAGACTTCCAAATGCGTTTCATATCAGTTGTTCCTTTCCACCTGTTGTGAGCATAACGCCTGTGAAAACAAATTTCAGTCACTGGAAAATAGTGCTGCAGGATTTTATGAACTTCTTTTATAGGCTTTCACATGCATTTTTTGAAATCTTTGTCATCACCTTCAAGTCTGATGGTTTTCCAAAGGATTACTGATCTGCTAATTGGTAATGATGAGCAACCAGCAACTCTCACTCCCTGAACTGACCTGCATGCCGGGCACCCTGCTTTTGTGGCTGAACTCACTGCCTTGTTAGCCGCTCAAGAAAGCCTGGAGAGGTAGAATTCCTTGGGATAGGAACCGGAGGCTCAGAGATTTTTGGTAATTGAAATGTAGGCTCCAGGGAGTCGGTGGTTTAGGGACTTTTATATGTGTCTTTTTAAAAATTGCTGTATCTCCCACACCTAGAATGTGCAGGAGCATGGCATATATTAGCTACTCAATAAATATTTTTTGAATATTAAATGAACTTGTTCACACATCCATAAATGCTTGACCAAGATTCAAGATAGGGCTTGTCTTCCCAATATCTGTTTTCTTTCAACTCTTTATTTATACAAAGTGGACACATTTCATGTATATTATAGTACAGATTTAGGAACTTAGTGATAACGCCTACCCTGCCCCTCCTGCCCTCATTCCCCACCCACCCTTATCCTGCCTTATTTCCCCTCCCTCCCTGCTTGGTTTTTACAATAGTGCACTTTGATTTCACAGTCATAGGTTTAAACCCCTTTAGGTAAACATATCAACGCCTGGCAGGTAGAAAATAATAGCAAAGAAAAAAACCTATTCCTTGGGTATACCAATAAAGGCCTTGCACAATGATCAAATCCCAGATTGTCACTTGGCACCTATGGATTGCATTTTTGGGTTCTGCGTATTAGTCATATTTTCGGGAAAACATGCTATTTGTATTTTAGGGATTGGCTTTTCTCACCAGGCATAATGGTGAAAAGACAAGATTTTGTTGATTTGTGTGTGTTTGTGTGTGGCTGAGTAGTATTCCAAAGCATATATATACCATATTTTCTTGATCCAGTCATCAGTTGATTCTAGGTTCATTCCACATCTTCGCTATTGTGAACTGAACTGCTATAAATAGAAGTGTACAAAAAATTCTTATATGCTGATTTTAGTTCATTTGGGTAAATTCCCAGGAGTGGGATGACTGGGTCATATAATCTATTATCGGATTTCTATGGAATTTCCTACTGTCCTCCATAATAGTTATACTAGTTTACATTTCCACCAACGAGGGATTAGGGTACCTCTTCCCCACATCCTTACCAGCACTTACTGTTTTTGATTTTCAGATGATAACCACTCTAACTGGGGTAAGGTGAAACTTTTTTTTAAACAAGGTCTAGTCTATTTGTTATTATTATTTTTTATAATGTTACATAGTTGATTTGGGTACAAAAGGTCAAGGGCTACAGGAAAGTGGGTAAGACCATTGTTTCTACACTAATATCATCGTTTTTCTCCCTTTATCTAGGGTCAGGGGAGAAACAAAGGGAGAGGCCCTATCCATTCCAGGTTCCCGATGTGGGGCATGCACTGAGGGTCCTGCTCAAACAGTTTTGATAGTCTAAAGCTGAGAGTCAAGAGCCTCATCTGGATCTCCCAGATGTATGTAGGGACCCAAGGCCTTGAGCCATCATCCACTGCTTTCCCAGGCCCCTTAGCAGGGAGCTGGATTGGAAGCTGAGTAACTGGGACACAAACTGGCACCCATATGTGAGGCTGGAGCTTGCAGGTGCAGGATTATCCGGTTGAGCCACAGCACTGGCACCTATTTGTAGAATTTTTTTAAAGTATGTTTCCTTTTCTTTGGACAGGGCCAAGAGACAAAATGACATCAGACTTTTTGCAGACATCCGTGAATTCTGAAGGTAAAAAATACCATGTGTTACTGGTGTTTAGTCTGGTTAAGCTGCAAAACGGAGTGGGAAAGCAAAGAAAAATGTGACCCAGTCTACCTGCTGAGAAGTTTGTTTTATTGAGAATCAATGTTGGACTGGTGTTGAGAGGGGCTGCCACCAGTGTAGGAGGGGCTGGTTTCTGCACATTCTCTTGAGTGTTCTTGGTCTGCTCTCACTCGAGGTGGGGACTGTGTCTGTTGGACTGAGAAGGTTGGAGGAGCATCATGATGGATGTGTGTATCATGATGGGAAGACGCATCTTATGATCTCAACGTGCAGGCCCATGGTTCTGCTAGGGATCTTAGTCTTCGGTGGGTTCATTCACCACAGGTGTGAAGTGCTGTAGGAAGGAGAGGAGACCAGGCTGTGTGGCTCCACCTACAGCTAGGAAGCTGAGGTCACTGGGCCTGCCTTCTCAAACATCCCTGCGAGAGCCCACTTACTTTGCCCAGGCTGGCATGAACCCTACTGCTCTGGTCAACAGAAAAGGGATGCTAGAAGTCTGTCTTTCTGTTCTCACAGATAAATTAAAGGATGATGCCATCAAAAATGACAAGCCTTATAAGGTCTTCTTCAAAGATATCTTTTTTTTCAAGGAGAATGAAAGGGCGGCAAGGAAAAAGGTAAGGCTTGGTTAACGTCACAGTCCCAATGAATCTTATCTGTTGCACTTGAGAACTTTACTGGGTTACAGCATGGAATCAGATGTTGACATCAGACACAAGTTGGTGTTGAGCCCTGCTTTCTGTGTCCCCCTCCTAGCGTGCTAGGGAGACCCTGAGAACAACCTGTATGACAGAACAACATTCAGAACTTGATAGGAACTGGCAGAGGTTGCCAGCTAATGGAGCAAGACACGAGCATCATACAATCCAGGATGACTAGTAGCGCATGAGCAAACACTTTCCCCCTCATGTTTACATTTCTGAAATTGAGATCTTGCTTACATCGAAGCACCACCAAACACCATTGTGCATCTTATGATAAATGACATCCCAGAGTTGATGGAATACCATGGAGCCATGCATGGGAAATGCAGAGAGATCTCCACCCCACTTTGTTGGTGAGAGGAAGCAGGAGATAGTACCAAGATAGTAGTGTGTAGTCAGACTTGACTGCGGTGACAGGAGCTGAGTCTGCAAGGACAAGGTGGGCTATTGGCACCACAGATAAGGTGCCCCTGAAGACAGCTCTATCTCCTGGCAGAGTGCTGGGTTCGAATCCGACTTGTACTTCCTGTCTTGTCTTCTGCTTGTGTGTCCCCCTGGGGAGGGTCTCTGGGGCTCCAGTGCTTGGGCCCCTGCCACCCTTGACCTAGTTCCTGACTTTGGTCTGGTCTAGTCCCAGTTGTCAGAAGCAATTGGGAGCTGAACCAGCAGATGGAAGTTCTCTGTATTCTGTCTTTGTCTGCCTCTGGCTTTATAAATGCACAAAAAATGTTTTAAAAATATAAAGTAATATAGTTAATACAACATGTGTAACTTAACAAGGAAGTCAGAATTTGTGAGCAGACAATATACACACTGTTGTTCTGTGATGGAGAGCAGGTAAGATGAAGGGATAAAAAATAGAGGAAGAATGTCCTTCAGAATGATCTGGAATGGGGCCAGTGTTGTGGCATGGTGGGTTATCTCGAAGTGCCAGTTCCATGTTCTACTTTGAATCCAGCTTCCTGCCAGTGTGCCTGGAAGGCAGCTGATAGCCACTCAAGTGCATGTGTTCCCGATACCTACATGGAATTCTGGGCTCCTAGCTTCAGCCTGACCCAGCCCTGGCTCTTACAGACATTTGAGGAGTAAACCAGCACATGGAGAATCTCTCTCCATTTCTCGTTTTCTGTGACTGTGTCCTTAAAGGAAGGAAATCTTTCAAAAATAGAATGACTGAAAATGAAGCAAAGTCAGCAAGGTGGCCAGCTTCCCACTGTGCCTCGCAGAGTTCATCTTCCCACCTGTATGTTCCCCTGGTGTTGTTGGTTCATACCTCACAAGAGGTATTTTCTTCACTCCTGAAAGTCAAGCTTGATTGCTGGTCTTTCTTTGCCCAGCTTAAAATGAAAACACCTAGAAATGCTCAACAGCTAGCTCATCGTATGTAATAGCTGTCATAGTTATGTTGAACCTACGCAACTTAAGTTGAAGAGATTAATAAAAGCAGGAGCCTGATTTTTTTAAAGACTTATTTTTTATTGGAAAGGCAGATATACAAAGAGGAGGAGAGACAGAGAGGAAGATCTTCCCTCCACTGATTCACTCCCCAAGTGGCTGCAGTGGCTGGAGCTGAGCTAATCCAAAGCTACGAGCCAGGAGCTCTTCCGGGTGTCCCATGCAGGTGCAGGGTCCCAAGGCTTTGGGCCGTCCTCAACTGCTTTCCCAGGCCACAAGCAGGGAGCTGGATGGGAAGCGGGGCTTCCAGGATTAACGCTGGAGCCCATATGGGACCCTGGCTTGTTCAAGGTGAGGACTTTAGCCACTAGGCCCCGCTGCCAGGCCCGGAAATTTTTTTTTTTTTTTAGAGAGAAAAGGTTACATGTTATATTTTTGCTCAACTTCTTGGAGGAGTAGAAAATTCTTACACAGAACTTTAAGGGAAAGGACGTGGGATCGCTCTGTTTATGTCTTTTGTTGTAGATGATATTTTTAATAGATGGATGCTGTTCTAAAATAATGATCCTTGGTCCTATTAAAAATCCTTTACCATTTTTCTACTTGGGTAGGAAAAATTGATGAATCAGAACATGAAAATCCACCAGAAGTCGACTTTTTCCTCCCGAATGAAGAGTCGCTCCCACCTGAACCAGCTGGGTTTTTATGGGGACAGAAGTGACAGCTCCTTGGAGAATTTCGGGCTGGATCCCACTCTGATTCTCCGACTAGCAGAAGGTATGTCTAAAGGACACTGGAAGAGCGGTGTGTGGACTGTGGACTCAGAACAGCAAGATTGGGAGGCAGGTTTTCCGGGTTTTGGAAAGAAAGGAAGCGTGTGCTGTCTCCCAGAGGGAAGACAAATGGAGTTTCAGAGGTAGAAGGAAATCAGTTTTAAAAAGAAGTGCCAACATTTTCGTAGCTCTTAAGAAAAATACAGTATGACAGTTGGCAAAGAAGGACTGGTGTTGTGGCACAGCAGGCTAAGCCCCTGCTTGTGGACACTGGCATCCTATCTTGGATTCGATCTTGTGCTTCACACTTCACCTCTGTTCAGTGACCCCTAGGTCATCAAGAGCATTTAAAATTGTGTACAGGAGTGAGCCTGGGTTACATGGGGTTAGGTTGTCATGTGGGGTGCCCTCCCTGCATATGAGAGTTCCTGGGATTGAGTTATGCCTCCATTTGTGACCGAAACTCCTGACAATGAGGCAGTATTTAATTCAAGCCAAGACTTGAGTCTCTGTCACCCGTGTGAGGGACGTAGCTGGAGTCGCTGGCTCCTGGCTTTGACATGGCCCAGCCCCAGCTGTTGCAAGCATTTGAGGAGTGTATTAGTGGTTGGAAGATTCTGTCCCTGTTGCTGTGTGTTTCAAATAAATAAAAGTAAATAAACATGAACATTTTTTCATAGGTTCAACATGGAAGTGTTTCTACATGAAGTAGCTGACTTCTAAAATCCCTTGTCACGTTAATAGTTCCAAGATGACTGGGGAGTCTGGCTTTACAGATGACCAAGTTCTGCACCATTGCTGTCTGATGCAGAGCTTACTGACCCATTATGTACGTGGGGTGAGGGGAAGACTGTTGAACAGGAGATAGATAAGTTGTTTGACAGTATCCGACGCAACTTGAACACTGGTGCCACTAGGAGTCAGGTGGTCAGTTTCTGCTGATTGCTCAGATACGCAGTTGAGGCATGGCTTCCGTGAATGAGTAAACCCCTGTGCCTCCACCCTTCTCTCACCTGCCTGCACTGTGGCTGTAAGCAAGCCTACATGATAGCAAAATAAACCAGGGAGAGCCTTGCACACCTGTGCGAGTGTGTGCGCATGCATACAATAGTTGGTAAACCACCAACTCATCATCAAAGAAATTGCATGGCCAGCTAAGTGCCAGGTACAAATTGGTTGGACTGCATGGTTGAGGTACCACTTGGCTTTATTTTCGGAGGGCAGCACCTCTGAACACGTTATCAGTTGGGTGGGCTGCCACCTCAGAGCTCTCGACCTGCTCTGGGCTCAGGGACATTGGCAAGAAAGAGACCCTTCCTGCAAGATCTCTTGTATGAAATGGGTAGGTACAGTACGTCTCACTGGGGTGAAGGGTCAGCCAGACTGCTGTGTTAGACTGAAATGCTACTTAGTTAATAGCACGTACTCCTTGTGGATGCTGATGTTTATTCTCAGTTTGGTGCATCGTAAGTGACCAAACAAAAGTGATAGCAAGATTTTAGTAAATTGAACCTCAATATAATCAAGCGAATAAGAGGGTGGGAGGACCATGTTAAGCAATCCTCTCAGGATGGTGTGTACTAGACCCATTGTGTATGGGAAGCTGACCAAGATTCTTGACGAAGTGAATGGCATGAAAAAGGAGAGGTGGGAAGGGGTGCAGAGGAGGTTGCTGTTAGTGATGAAAAGCAGATTTTGAGTGTACCAGCCCCATTGTTTTTGCTTTGTTTTTAGCCTTTCCACATTTCATAAAAGATTTTTTTTCATTTGAAATGCAGAGTTGCATGAAGACAGAGAGAAAGAAATTTTCCATCTGCTGATTTACTCCCCAAAATGTTTGCAGTGGCCAGAGCTGGGCTGATCTAAAGCTGGAGCTAGCAGCTTTTTTGGGGTCTCCCACATGGTTGCAGGGGCCCCCCGCATGGTTGCAGGGGCCCAAGGACTTGGGCTGTTTTTCAGTGCTTTTCCAGAGCACAAGCAGGGAGGTGGATTTGAAGTGGAGCAGCCAGGACATGAATCAGCACCTATGTAGGATGTCAGTGCCACAAATGGAGTCTTATCCTACTGTGCCACAGCACCAGCCTCCTTCATTTATTTATTTTACACCGATGAGTTTCCCCACCTGTGTGGATTATCTGATTTCAGGCCATGCATGGGCTCCTCAGAGTGAGTTCTCTGATGGGTAGAAAAGCAGCATTCGCAGCTGCAGGATTTCCCACAGGGGCTAGAAACAAAGAGTTTTTTTTTTTTCCTTTGTGTTCCTGTAGGTTTTCTCTGATTTATTTCCAAATCTGGTTTGTCAATGAGAGTTTTCGCACACTTGAGAGTGCCCTAGAACTTCTCTGTGTATTTACTAAGGTTTCTGCGGTAGGAATTTTTCTGGCACGTTTTGGCCGGCTGAGCTGTGTTTCCTGTGCTAACAGTTGACTTGCTGCAGTGTGAGCTCTGCAGTGTGAGCTCTCTCACGCGAAAGCAGCATCCTCCTGGTGGTGAAGGCTGTGTCTTGTCTCCTGTTTCTTAGCAGGTGAACCGTGTGGTGCTGGCTTGGACACAGCCAGCTGCTTGTCTAAGCAGCAAGTGAGTAGAGCTCAGGGCAGGCCCATGACTCAGCGTGCTACAGGAGAACATGTTCAGTAACAGGACAATGAATATTTTCAATTGTCAAGATTGTTATATATGTATTTTATTTTTGTAAAGTTGATTTAAAAGGTGATGAAATCAGACAGGTAGGCCTTGTTCGATGAGAGAGCAGGCAGGGAGGGGGAAGGTGGAAAGAGATTTCTACTTTAATCTTGGGTCAGTGGGGAGAGAGAGTGCCCCTGCCTGTTGCTGGACTTCTTACGAGTCTAGACAGAGAAGTGGTTACATGACATCACCCCCAGACCCAGGTGAGGGGAAGTACATCTTAGGAAGGTTTCATTTAATTGACAGGTAGGCATACAGTGTTACAGAAGGCATGGGGGAGGTATGGCTTCCTAAGCCTGTCCCATTTCATTCACTGCCCAGGAATTTCCAGCCCTCTTCTTATCAGTCACTGAAGGACATACATGTATTTCATCTTCTCTAGCTACTTTCTGCTGGTTAAGGGTATAGGCCTTGCATGTTCCAGGTTTGGAAATCTTTTCCTATCTCATCTAATGGATCTATCTCATGAATCATGGTCATCGCTGGCACCAATGGTGCTGCCACTTGCATGACTCAGAGTCATCACCATTCTGAGAAATCGTTGGCCTTTTTCGTCCTTATTAATTTTTTAAAGGTTTATTTTTCTGGCCTGGTGTGGCGGCCTAGCAGCTAAAGTCCTTGCCTTGAACGTGCCGGAATCCCATATGGGCGCCGGTTCTAATCCAGGCAGCTCCACTTCCCATCCAGCTCCCTGCTTGTGGCCTGGGAAAGCAATCAAGGACAGCCCAAAGCCTGGGGACCCTGCACCCATGTGGGAGACCTGGAGGAGGTTCCTGGCTCCTGGCTTTGGATTAGCACAGCTTAGCCGTGGTGGCCGCTTGGGGAGTGAATCATCAACAGAAGATTTTCATCTCTGTCTCTCCTCCTCTCTGTATATCTGACTTTGCAATAAAAATAAATAAATCTTAAAAGATTTATTTTCATTGGAAAGGCAGATTTACAAAGAGAAGGAGAAAGATCTTCTTTCTATCTGCTGGTTCACTCCCATAATGGCCGAAACAGCTGGAGTTGAACCAATCCAAAGCCAGCAACTTCTTCCAAGTATGCCACCTTGGTGCAGGGTCCCAAGATTTGGGCCATCCTCTGTTAGTTTTGCAGGCCACAAGCAGGGAGCTGGATGGGAGATGAACTGGATGCTGTTTGGAGGTGGATTAGCTAGTTGAGCCATTACCCGGTCCCTGTTTTGAAGTAGCATCTAAGGTCCTTAGCTGTTCGCAGGAGCAGGTTGATTCATCCCTTGTGTGCCTCCTGGCATGATCCACGAGTGAGCACTAGAAATAGCCTGATGTGTGCAGTGTGCTCTGGTGCGAGGACACACACCTGCAAGCTCTGGTTCCTGAGATCGGAGATCCTGTCGCATCTGGGACTGATAGTACATAAAAGCCCATGTTTCTTGGTGATGTCAAAGGCCACCAGTAGGCCTCCACCCTGGAGGACTCTGTCCTAATATGGCGGCACATCATGGGTGTGACTGCCTAAAACCCATCAAGCACCTGATCTGCTGCTCCAACACTGGTGTGGTAGACCTGCATGTGTGTTGCTTGCCTAGGACCCCAAATCACACCCCTGGCTGACCAGTATCCATGCCCTGTACCCCCTCTCCATCCCTCAGGTCCCTGGTCTAGCATAGTGGTTTACTATGGGTGTGGCCTGCCTAGGACCTGTGAGGGCCCTGGTGTGTCTGCTCTCAGGCAGGCGTTGTGGTGTGCCATTTTTGGACATGCCCAGGACCCACAGAGACCCTGGCCTGCACTCTCCAAGATGATATGAGGCCATGTCTTTGGTACAGTCTGCCTGAGACCCTGGCTTCAGGTCCCTGGCCTGCCACTGCTACCTAGGACCCATCAGGCCCCTGGCCTGCTGAAAGCCATCTATGGGTACCCCCTCTCCCAAACCTGGGCAGCTGCCTGAAGCTGGGGGCCATTGAGTTTTTCCAAGATTTTAATTTTTTTAAATTCATGAAGGTGTCATCAAGATACTGGGAAACTTTTAACCCAGGCTAGCTATGACTAAAAAGATGTTAATTTTGTTAGGTGTGAGAGTGGTTCTATTTAAAACTGTTATCTGGCAGCATTGTATGCTTTTTTAATATATTATAGATTTTTATTTTGATAATCTTACATAGTTGATTTGGGTACAAAGGTCAAGGGCTACAGGAAAGTGGGTAAGACCATTGTTTCCACACTAATATCGTCATTTTTCCCCCTGTATTGGGGTCAGGGGAGATAAAGGGAGAAGCTCACCCAGCCTCCCCCATCCCAGGTTCCTGATGTGGGGCATGCTGAAGGTCCCGATCAAGCAGTTTTGACAGTTTTTTGG